AATGTGCATACCTTCCTGTGGTTACTTAAGCTAGGACAGTATGAATGAGAAATAAAGGAGTATACGTTGATAAATATTACCAGAATTTTATTTGTCATTTTCTATGGGTAATATTACCACAAGAGTATACAGAATGCAAGACACACGAGCATATAATACATGTATCCTAATGCTTGAACAGAGACCTTAAAGGTTTGGAATTTCTTTAGGTATTGCTCAGGAGGGGAAGTTAACTGTGTTTTCTGCAGCACAGATACATGGGTGCTCACATGCAGGCAGGTATTTGAAACTTGTCCTTTACTAAATATTACAGATATAAATCTTGAATATTGTCAGTATAAACATTTTATTGTAAATTAAGCATAGACTAGCACTACCTTTACGTAGTACAATCATGGAAAAGCATTTAGGGTCATTCTCTGCATTACTATTTGTTAACAGGTAGTATTATAACGTACAGTTCCCAGGATACAGTGCTGCTCTAAGAATGAAAAGAAACAGGAACCAAAAAGTGTAATGCAGTGTTTTGAGTCATTCAGTAGGATATATTTCATCATTGACTCTTCATTCTGCTATGCATGTGCAGGTGCCTAAAAGATCTATTGTGCTGAAGTGAAAAGTTTAAAATCTGTTGCCCATGTCAAGTTACAGACTGCTTGTTTCTGAACATAAGCATACCATAATCAATGCAGATAATGTAAATGTAGAATACAATAGGCAGATTACATGGTTTCCAGCAATCTGAGGATGTATTGAGCATTAGGACCAAGGTATACTTCAGCTTCCTGTAAAAGTACACTAGACAGGTCATAAGTACAGCTGACAAAGTTTATTCTCATGGACCTGCTTTACAATATCACACTGATCAAGATGCCAGAGTTACACCTGGGAATATTTAATTAAAGTAGAAGTTTAAAGAAATCCTAATAGATCACTTCAGGCTGGCCCCTTTTGCAGGCATAGCTATGTAAAGCATTAAAAATAAATGCCTATACTGTTTAAAATCCAGTAATACACCATCTCTCCCTCCTCTGCACATGCTCAGTTGCGCTCTATTTTTTTTGGCATTGTGCAGAAAATGTACGGCACCACTCAATGTGGTATGTATGCTCCTTGCTAAAGAACTTTTTTTTTAAATCAAATTGTTATGGGTACAGTTCCACTTCAAAGGCAAAACTTTAAAGCCGAAGTTTACTCCAAAAATCAAAATCAGCAAAAGGTTACAAACAATAAATGCCATGTGTCCGTTCTGCTTCCACCTCCACCCCCCCCCCCCCCCCCCTCCAAGCCCCATTGCCGTAATCCTCCAGTGTGGCAGGGGTTAATGGAGCTAACAGAGCTGTGACAGGAACTCATTAAAGTGGTTCTAAAGGCTCAAGGGCAGGGGCGGACTGACCATTTGGAAACTCAGGTTTCTTTTACCTTCATGCATTCTACACATGAAGGTAAAAAACCTTCTATGTGCAGCAGTGCCCCCAGCCCCCTCAATACTTACTTGAGCCCCATTGAGATCCAGCGATGTGCACAACAGCCTCAGATGTCCCAGTACTCTGCCCCCTCATTGGCTGAGCCAGCAAGCGGCAGCAACTGGCTCCTGCTGCTGTCAATCACAGCCAGTGAGGAGAGAGGGGACGGTGCCAAGTCACAGCTCAGTGTGAATGGACACACAGAGCAATGGCTTGGGAACACACTCAGGTGCCCCCATAGCAAGCTGCTTGTTGTGGGGGCACGTGACAGAAAGGATGAACCAGGAGAGCCTGCAGGGGATTCGAGAAGAGAATCCAGGCTGTTCTATCCAAAACCACTGCACATAGTAGGCAAGTAGAACATGTTCGTTATTTTCCAATAAATGAACCTTTAGAATTGCTTTAAGATTCACTCTTTTTTGCCCAGCTCCTTCATTCATAGAGCTCAGCTCCTTCATTAGAAGCCATACTACAGCTTCTAAGAACAAAATGTTATCCATGAATTGAGGGGACAGACCTTCCAATCATTCGCCCATGCTCCATTCACAGATCAATTATCAATTATAGTTCAGCTTCTATGAATGGAGGAGCTGGACAGACGGGCAAACATAGTCAGGCACTCTTGATGAGTGCCTGTCACAGCTCCATCACCTCCATTAACCCCTGCTGCACCAGAAGATAACAGCCAAGGAGGATTGTGGTCACATTTAGAGACTGTTGAAAAGGGCTTTGGGCTTTTGTTGATGGCCTCAATTTGAGTAATTGATAGGCAAATCAGATCTGCAGTTCACTTCTGTTTGACCTGATTTAAGTGAGTTTTGCATTCCACTAGACAGACTTGTATGGGACTGCAAATTCCCATCTCATGCAAACGCCCATCAGCACCATACGTACAATAGCTCATCTCAACATATAGCATTCATTAATATATACACATTAACTGCATGGAGCAGAGGTTCTTGCTGGTAGAGGTAGCAAAAGGTCCTGCATAAAATACAAGCCTAAAGTACTTATGTTTAGATGCGTACAGTGTGTACATGTATATGTGTGTAAAATCTACAGCCATGTATGGTTTCAGTCAGTTGTATGTATGACCCTATTATAGTGCTGCACCTAGATGCTTACAAACTATACACACCAAAACATGCATTTTAGCTATAACTTGATACTGAGGATCTCTACAAAATTAGGCCAGACTGGGATTTCAACAACCAGTCCCCATTGGCAGGAGGAAGAACAGCAATGCTTGGAGTGTCTGCTATTCCAAAATGCCCAAGTGGGGGGACAGACCACTTCTGATCTCGAGAACCAGTGTGGGAAAATTATTATGCAAGGTGCTTCATGATTTCAAGTACAAAAGCCTCAAACAGATACTGAAATATTTGTGTTCTTCAACATGGTATTGATACTTAACCAAAATAAAGCCAGGTCCTATAGACAAACCACACAGATACTTGTAGTGACATTATGCCTAACGTGAAAAAAAAAAAAAAAGGACTGGGGTTACTAAAGTAAACAGTTATATAAACATTGGGGTATCAGTGCTGACCTAACTGCTAGGCACTTGGCTCTTATGCTTACCCTCAGTAATTTTTGCCTGGAACAAGCACATTAAAAAACAAAAAAAGAACTAAAGTTAGAAGCCCTTAACAGCATAACTGTTCTGGGTTAACAACTCAAAGCACTCAAGCCAGCAACATTTTCAGAATGTAAAACCAGCACCCTCCATGTTTCTTTTAAACAGACGAAAAAAAAATGTAAGCCTTAAAAATCAATAAATACACACAAGATCTTTCAGTACAGCAGCTTGTATAATGACATGTTTAAAATGACATAAAAGAGATTAGAAGGAAAAAAAACATTAGGCTATTTATTAAAAGCTAGAGAAGACTGTGGCTAGATAACTCTTAATCTGTGTGACCAGGCTAAAGCAAAGGGTTCAGTCAGTACGTGAGCCAAGTACAGTCGTTGATCAATTAATTTGGTCACTCAGTGTGATAAAACCAAATACTACAGAATATTTGCGAATATCATCTTACAGCCATTTTTATTCTCCATTGTATCCAGAATTTTGAATTGACCTTTGACACACCAACTTTGTCCGACTTGGCCATACTCTGTGCATAGACTTAGTGCAAGCTAATACCCTTTTAGACTAATGTTTACAAGGAATGATTACACAGAGGACTTGTTTGGAGACTTTGGCCTCATTCACACAGGCATACCAATCATTACACTCATGTGCATCCCAGAGTGTACATCCCTGTGGGTCCATCGCATAGATCAGACCCCGCTCTGTGTCCTACTCTCTGCATCAGACTTGCATGGATGTCCACTCCAGGATGTGCACAGAGATCCATACAGCTAGCCGCCTGTCATCAATTTGAACAGGCTGCCTGCATGGAAACCTGTGCGTTCCATACAGGTGAAAAATCACCCCTTCACATGGATGTATGGATCGGTACACCCATGTGAATGAAAGTTTTCTTTAAATTCTGTGTTTTTAGCATTCTATTGTGTAAGTAATTGTCATGATGTGGTTGCTTCTGTCCCCAACATTTCTTACAATCAAAAATTAGTTATATTTGAACATTCTATGAGGTTATGGAAAACTGGAGCAGATAAAAGATTGTTGGTTATCCATACCACATTAGTATATATTGTTTATTTTTGGAAACTACACAGAGAAAAAAAAAGACTTTGTTCTGATTGGCTGCTGTGGGCAGAATACTTGCTTTTGTAATAATTTCCCACTATGAGGGCCAGGAGTACTCTACATAAGCTTTGAGCAGTAAGCCTAAAGCCGGCCATAGATTCAAACCATGTATGGGCAGACTGAATGTACCCAAATTGATCGATGAACTTGGGTACAACCAGGCTGTCAGATTTTACATTTGATTATTGCTAGAAGCTATTATAGCCACTAGCAGTAATCACTGTGTTCTCCTGGCAGGGACAAAGACTCCTGCAGGGAGAACACAATGACTCCACGGAAGGGATTCCCCCATCATCACTGACTGGAAATGGCATCTTCCAAAGCTGGCCATAGATGGAGCGATTCTAAGTGAATCTGAGTATCTCACAAACTGGAATTTGGATAATTACTAAAATATATGCATCAAGATTTACTGTGGCTTTGTTTGCCAATTCCCTCTTCCATATTTATGTTACCAAAAAAACAACAAAAAAAAAAACAAGAGAACCATAAACACATGCAACTTTTATGTACATACAACAAATTTAAACAATTTTGAACGGTTAAACAAAAATATTAAATATGAACATAAAGTTATAGTGTCCCTTTTAAGTACATGACTTGTTACTGCCATAAGGGTGCAGGGCAAATCTTTAGTATGAAGCATAATAGGCTATTCATATCAGCAGCTGATCATCTTTCCGCTATTAGGAGGACACTTCAGTATTATGGTCCCACATATCTGACATTAGGACATTTAATTACAGCAACAAGGAATGGTTCAACAATTTGCTGGAGATGTCTAAACAGTCCACCATGGTGTGCTAGAGAGTCGTCGTTCAAATGTCTGAGCCCAGTTCAGCACACTGCTTGTCCGAGATGTGATTGGCCAGAGACTCAATGATGTTGATGAGCAGATGTTGACTCAGTGACCGCAGGTTCGGTAACTTGGCAACCTTGATACAAGGAAGGAAAGGGGGAGAAGGATGAGGATTTACTGTTAAATCACTTTGGCTGAACCTGAGATGCCGGATTTCACTTATTATATCTACATGAAATACAGATTTACTAAGAATACCATAAAGGGGACCCAAAACATCCCAATGTATATTTAAATTCTGCCAGTAACAGCACTTCCTGTTTCAGGGCTCCTTCAGTTGGCTATTGGGCTGCCTACCAAATCTGCAAATGCCTCCTGCATACTTAAAAGGCAGCCTAACAGCCAGCAAAAGGCGCTTGAATGGCAAGCTGACAACATTGCTACTAACTGCAAGGCAATGGTTTAGGTTTGTCTGCTAGCTAACAGGTGGCAAGCCTCACTTTCGTCATTTAGTACATGCGCTGCTAGTAATACAAAGTCATATTAGAGCTTATGGAGCTTCAAAGAGGGCAAATTGTTAATTGTTGATGCCCACTTACTTGGTGCCTCTGTGACTGAAGTTGCCAATTAATTTGCTGTATTGTGAGGTACAGTATCAAAAGGCTATGACGGCATATACAGTTTCCAGGAAAATGTCGTCTGATAAGCAAAGAGCGGTCAACCTGGCCAACTGACCGAAAGCGACATTCTACAGGATTGTGAACCGGAATAAGAACACAACTGCTGTAAAAGTGACTGCAGAGCTCAACCTCAGTCCCATGAAGATTTTTTTTTTTTTTTTTAGCTTTAGGTAGCAGGATTAGAACCCCTCTCAGTGGCCCCATTAAGAAGATTCACACTCTTTGTTTGTCCTATTTACCATTATCATGAAAATCCCCAGAAAAGTAATGGCGGAGAAATCTTCCAATGGGTCCCCAAGAGATTCCCTTAATTTGCAGGGATTTCCTCTCATTTCCTGTTTGGATATGGGACAGGACGCGAAGGGAAATCTCTGCAATGGGAAAAATATGGCAAAAAAAAAAAAAAAAATCTTGCTCTATCCAGATGAAGAAAAAAAAAAAAAAAGTTTTGCCTATCGTTCTACTTTAAACCTTCCAAAAAAAAAAAAATGACATCCTCTTCTAACCAGCTAAATAATTATAATAAATATAACTCGCAGCCATTGGTTTCCCAGTAGGATCGCCGACTGAGGCTGGTTGTTAAACCGGCTTCTGTAGAACAGACAGCTCTAAACACGGAGCCAACGTTGGCTGGTTCCTGCTGCACTGACCGATTTTTGGCTCATGTATACCAGGCGTTAACATAGCTATTGTCACATTGCTGTGAACAGGAAAGATGACAGTATCCCATTTTCTCTGCAGCCATCACTACTTCCTAAACCTGACATTTATTTTCCTTCTCTACAGTACTCATTTTGTCATTGGTATTTACAAGGATTACAGTGCTTGTGCTCAAATAAGATTACCTTTGTGCAGGAATTTGCTAGGGTTGATACCTCTGAAGGTATTGTGTAAAGGGAGGTGGTGGAGCCTTTTTTTTTTTTTTTTTACAGCACTGGGTCGGATAATAAAATACTACATAGACCATTTTCAGGAGTGCACTGGGCATGACCTAACATCTACAGAACAGAAGGAGGTACAGATTTTCCTTTGGAAAATGCAATAGACAAAATGTACATCTTAGACTTTAAATGAAAAATTGAGATTAAAGAAATACGAGAAGCCATGCACAGAGACAGGACAGACAATTAACAGTTTTTTTTATTGGTCCACAAATTTAAAGTGGCAAGTGCACCGATATCTAAAACAGAGAGTGCAAAGATGTACACATAGATGAGTAAACATTCAGGTCATGTAGCTGTGTGTAGCACTGCTCAATCAGACATTACACAATGGAAAAATGATGAAATCAACACAAGCCTATGTTAGTGGAGAGCACTGTATGACAGCCAGATGGCTGTCTAGGACCACCTTTGTACAAATATATATATATATATATATATATATATATATATTAATTATTATTATTATATGGAGAGGCATATCTGATTTATGAAGCCATTAGCTAAGATATGCAAGTATTAAGAAAATGACTATGACAAATGTCCTATTGATCCTTTGTACCCACATGTATGCACAAATACAGGGTGACGTTAGGTTTAAGAGCCAGTAGAAAAGACAGCGCCAACACTGAAGATGATTGGACAACATGGTCCCAGAGCCCAAGAAAAGATGCCACCAACCTTCGTGAACTGATGGACAATGATGTGAAGGCAATGCTTCTTCATATCCAGAGCCTGTGTCTTGTCTGCTGCCTCCAGAATCTAAAACAAAAAAAAACAAAATGATCATCAAAAAAAAAAGAATCACATTGTACAAGTTTATACCAAGTCTCTCTCCTCTACACATAAGGTGACACGTTGAATCACACTGTACAGGATTATACCAAGTCTCTCTCCTCTACACACAAGTTGACAAACAGTTTCTACTAGCAATAGAGTTGCTTCCCTGAAGCTAGAAATTACCTTCTCCAAAAACTTGCCAGCGCTTCCAAAGCAATAACAATCACTGACATTATTATTTACTTCTGTATCTCATCTGCTCAGTTTTTCTTCCATACAAAAGGAGCAGAATTTCTTAAAGGATTCAGATCAATAAGCATTTACCTCTAAATGTATAAACATATAGTATGAACACTATATACAAATATTAGTATTGTCATTTGCTTAGATTTCTATGGATTGCCAATTAGAAGTTCTGCAATACACAGTATAACTTGTACACATGTCTATACAGAGCTTATTATGGTTCTTCTGGTTTCACACATAAATCATTAACAAGTAATACCTGAAGCACATTTTCAACTGTCACATTCATTTCCAGGTTCTGCCTGCAATAGGCCTGCAGTCTGTTGCTGAAGAATCCATAGTAATATGGAGCTGAGAACAGGTAGCTAAAAATCAAGTTAAGGATTTATTTCCAGGCATGACAAGGGTTTATATTTGACAGGCAGTATGTACAGGCTGTAGTGCTAAAGTACACAAATTGCCCGATAGTCTGGAACAAGCAGCCTAAAGGAGGCATGTAATTAAAGGATAACTTTACCTTTGGGAACATGTTACATGCAGGACCAGATCAGCCTTGCCAGCCAGAGATAGCCTATCAGGAGGCTGCAAAGCAGAATCTCGCCCATATTCTCTCCTAGGTGCAGTGCTTGGCTACTAAGGGTGGTTGTTGGAGTTTTCCAGCTACAATGAAAGTGGGGAGGCAGAGCGGGGTGTTGAGGGACAAGCATGGCTTAATTGAGAAAATAAGGCACATGGCTGGTGTCCCATTAGCATCTAACTTCCGCCCACCCTGCACCCCATTAGTGCCTAACTCCCACCCTGTGCCCAATTAACGCCTAACATCTGTCCACCCTCTGCCCCATTAGTGCACACTTTTCTCTACAGAGCTCCATCGAGCTTCTCTTACTGTACCAAACAAACCCTGCCTACCACTGTAGAACTAAAGCACCGCCCCAAAGGACTTTTAGCAAATCAGGAAGCAGCAAGGAATCTTCGCTGATATTCAATCTAGGAGCAGTGCTCCGGTTCTAGAGGTGGCTTTTTGGGGTGGCTGGGCCTAGATTAAGGTAGGGACCTGGAGCTCCAGTTTTTTAAGGTGGAACATGTAACATGTTCCCGCTGCACCCCCTCCCTGTGACCAAAGTACGGGGAGAAGTTCCCTGTACTAGCTGTCACTGTTCAAAAACAGCGCAGACGTGCGTGGCCTCCACCCACACGGCTGCGTCATTCATTCACAGTCCTCTGTGAATGAATGGACTACAAGTCCCGACATCCTTAATAACTGTTGGCTTGTAGTCCTCAAACTACCACGGCGCTGTGTAGCGTCGTGGTAGTTAAGCGAGTCTTCCTGTCAGCAAGTATTGGCTTGCCTGTACGGGATGTACCAGCAAGCAGATGCACTGACAGTCCGCAGGAGACCTACGTGGCATCAGCGATCTGCTAATCACTGGTGCAATACTTTACACGCTGCTAGCACAAAAATTAATAAATGCATTTTTTTTTTTTTTTCCCTGCAAAAAATGTGCATTTATTATTTTTTTGTGGAAAAGTGAACTTATCTTTTAAGGATAGGCAGATTTTGCTGACAAATATGAAGAATCAAGTCTGTCCTATGGCATCTTGTGTTATCTTGCTTTATTAATAAAACTAGGCTGGAAGCCTCAAAAACACATCCTGGTGAGTGGACCGAGTTTTTAACTGCTTTCTATTTGATGCTAACCCCTAAGATATGTAAATGTATCAATCTTCAGTTCTCTTCACTATTATATGTACATATTGTGTGCTGCTTTTATACTATTCATTAAAGCAGTGTAAGGTAAAAATGTATTAAAAAAAAATAATATTATACTTACCTGCTCTGCACAAGAATGTTGCACAGAGCAGCCCCAAATCTTCAAACACTGCTGGCACTCTGGGCTTCTCTTTCTCTATGTGCCACCATACGAAGCTGTGTGTCCAGTGACACGCACAGCTCGGTTCAGCCGCTCCACCAACTCAGTGGATTTGCCTTACAGCAGCAGGAGTCGATGGCTCCTGCTGCTCTCAACTAAGCCTGTGAGAGAGAGAGATAGGAGAGAAGACCTGCAGGCGAGCACAGCGCTGGATCAAAATAGGTAAGAATTTAGGTATAATGGAGAGAAACAGCAGCTGAAAGTTTTTTTTTTTTGTTTTACCCTAATGCATAGAATGCATAAAGGTAAAAAAAAAAAAACTATTTGACTTTAGAGCCACTGCAAGCTGCTTATAGACAAACACACCTCTAACTAAAAGTAGCAAAGCGATATCTTCGTATTGTGATTGTGGAAACATGCGATTCCACATGACCTTCCTACCTCACCTTTGAGAATGATGGACTGCAAAACACAAGTGAGGGGTTCAGTGCTTTTTCTTTGGGGATCAGTCAGATAGCTCACCCCCTAAATGCAGAAAGTTCACCCCAAGTAATTAAGTACGTTTCTGATCATGTGTGCTGTTTACTGCTTGGGTGTTAACAATTACACTGCCAAAAATACTAGAAAGCCATACTTATGAATACTGTCTGAATTCTCTTAGTTTTCTTAGCTAAATAGAGGTGTTTCCTGCCAGGCCTCCTTAGATTCTTTTTGAGATATGTTTACATGTACATACAGCCTAGGTATTGTGTCCAACCTGTAAAGCATAGGCCAGAGACTGCATTTCTTTGCGTGCAAGGACACAGACCCATGTACACTATGTGCAAATATCACATTTTGCTGTTATGACCCAGGCTTATGTGCATTCCAGAACCTGTGTTACCTATGTCACACACCCTCATGCATCTATAGGTGCATACATACAGAGTTGGCTATTGTGCCAACTTTACAGGAAGCTACGGAATGCTGCTTGTTGCAACAAGAAACAGTTGGCTTTACCTTTGCAATGCAAAATATTAATATATGCAAAACAAAGCGGACAGCTTACCGTATATACTCGAGTATAAGCCGACCCGAATATAAGCCGAGGTACCTAATTTTACCACAAAAAACTGGGAAAAACTATTGACTCGAGTATAAGGCGGTGGTGTCAGTGGGGGGGAGGAATAGTGCCCCATCGTTGGTGTCAGTGGGGGGAGGAATAGTGCCCCATCGTTGGTGTCAGTGGGGGGAGGAATAGTGCCCCATCGTTGGTGTCAGTGGGGGGAGGAATAGTGCCCCATCGTTGGTGTCAGTGGGGGGAGGAATAGTGCCCCATCGTTGGTGTCAGTGGGGGGAGGAATAGTGCCAGTGGGGGGAGGAATATCGTGGTGTCAGTGGGGTGTGGGGGGAGAATGGGGGGAGGAATAGTGACCCCTGCTCCAGCCTGGGCTCGCTCGCTCCCTCTCCCATGGTACACACTTACCGGTCAGATGTCTTCCTTCTCCGGCCGCTCTCCTCCTCTTCACTCGCTTGATCTTCGCGGTGCCGCTCGGCTCCTCCTCTCCAAGCTCCACCTCCTCGCCGGTGATTGGGCGCCTGTGTGCCTCTCCTGAGCTACAGTTCCGGCGGCCAATCACCGGCGAGGATTGATCCCGGGGGTGTGTCCAGATGACAGGGACGGCATGTCATCCCGCCCACACCTGGAGACGTTGACTCGAGTATAAGCCGAGGGGGCCGTATTTCAGCACAAAAAATGTGCTGAAAAACTCGGCTTATACTCGAGTATATACGGTACCTTTCAGCACATGCCCTTTTCCTTAATCTATCAGTACAGTGGTGCATGGAGTCTTGAAGCAGTTAGTGACTTTCTCCTGGTTATTATGCACATTGCCAAAAGAATGTTGTACTATCAGATCAGACAAGTGAAGGCAACTACTTACAGCTAAAGGCCCCCATAGATGGCCAGAGAGAGAGCGAGAATGAAAAAAAAAAATAAATAAAAAATCATCCCATCCATGCTTGGAGTGGAGGTGCCAAACAGTGACTACATTTGATAGGATAATCTTTCACCTGGCTAAGGCTGGCCATACACTCTACAATTTTCTGTCCAATTTCCTTTAGATTTACCTTCAACTATGTAGTGCAAGAGCCTGCTTAATTGGATACAATTGAAAGTGTTGTTAGGTTTGACCTCCTATTATATGGTTTTTGGTAAATCTAAACCAAAAATCTCAAGAAAATTGTATAATGTATGGCCAGCCTTAGTCGATTTTTAAACTGACTTGTCAAGCTGGGTGGTGCCTGCAGGGCCACTCATAGCATGAAATTTAACTGTCTATGGAGGTCTTTGATTTATCATTCATATTTTAGTTTACAATGTCTAGGACTACAAAATTCTGCTTTAATCTGACCATACATTAGTAGATTTTTGAAAAAAACATTCATACAAGCATTCGTGAGAAAACTCTGGGTACATTCATTGAATCACTTGATGAATGTTGCTCAAAAGTACTTCAAAATTCCGTTCACTCTTAACATGTTGGAATGAAAGTAATTACGCTAATAAAAAAACCATATACAGTTAGAAATATATTTGTTTGAGAAAAACTCTCCACCCTGCTAGAATTTTCTCATCACTGTGTTTGAAAACAAATGTCGATTTAACACCATGAAATATACAAAAATGGTGTGGCGCTAAATCATAAATAACAATAATGTGATAAACAAAGTGCAAAATATAGACTGCAAAATGTAAATGCAAAATAAAACACATACAATATTAATAAATACTGTGTTAGATCCTACAGGATCTATAAAGTGTCTTATACATGATGTTTGTATCAAACTGTGCAATATTAATAGGGTCCTATCCAGGGACCTTATAGTTGACAACAACCTGTCCCAAATGGGACCAACCCCAAAACAATACTATGTGATATATATAAAAATAACACCAGTAACCATTAGAAAATCAAAAGAATGTGTTTTTAAACAAAATTCTACTGGTGTATGGCCATAGATGGCACAATAAAAGCAAACTTTTTTTTTAGCACAGCTTGTGATTATTGGCTAAATTTGCTGTGTTGGCAGTAATAAGTCTCTAACAGTTTGAGGCACAGGAAGATTTCCCAAGTTGTGGGCAGTTCCCAATACAGCACTCCACTTTTTTATTATGAAGAGGAGCAAAGTATTCAAAGCAATGTGTGTGCGCCATCACCATCTGATGATCAACACCTAAATCAGTCCAATCCACCCAGCACCATACCCTTCTTGCCCCCTGGGGAGTGCCTGGCCAACGTCGATGCTGTAATAAAGATCATTCACATGGAATCGCAGCTCATTCACCAGTGAACTTCGAAAATGCAATTTCTTGAGTTATGTTGTTGCGATATACAACCAAGATCTTATTTAACCACTTGCCCTCCAGTGGATCTACCCCCATGACCAGGCTATTTTTTGCAATACAGTGCTGCATTACTTTAACTGACAATTGCGCGGTCATGCAACGCTGCACCCAAATGAAACTGACATCCTTTTTTTCCTACGAATTTGGTGGTATTTGATCGCCAGTGCGGTTTTTTTTTTTTGCGCTATAAGCAAAAAAAGACAGACAATTTTCAGAAAAAAAAACAATATTTTGGACTTTTTGCTATTAAACATGTCCAGTAAAAAAATAAAATTTTGTCATAAATTTAGGCCAAAATGTATTCTGCTACATGTCTTTGCGAAAAAAAAATCCCAATACGTGTAAATTAATTGGTTTACGTGAAAGCTATAGCGTTTACAAATGGGGGTATAGATGATGGGATTTTTTTTTTTCTACTAGTAATCGCGGCGATCGGCAACTTTTAGCGGGACTTCGGCGGACATTCTGACACCAACAGAGATCAGTGCTAAAAAAAAGCACTGTTACTGTGCTAATGGGACTGGGAAGGAAGGGGTTAATGTGATTGGCGATCAAAGGGTTAACTGTGTGCTGGGAGTGTTTTACTAGGGGGGGTTTCTTCACTGTAAGCACATTGATCGGGATGGCTGTACTGTGCACAGCCATCCCGAGCAGTGTGCTCAAGCTGACAGCGAGGAAGATTGTTTGTAAACAAAACAATCTTCCTCCCCTTCGGAGATGCTCGGTAATCACTGGGCGCCGACAGGTAATTACCGGCTGGGAGCCGGTGATTGACATCTGCGGCCGCGAATGGCTCTCGCACGCCCCCTAGCCGGAAATGCAAAATCACGTACATATACACGTGATTCTGCGCGTGTGTGCCACCCTGTAGCAGTATATCTGCTATAGGGCGGTCCTTAAGTGGTCAACTAACACAGATAGATATGGTGGCATAAATGAGGTGCTGATATTTTACACAACCCCCAATTTGATAAAATAAAAGGATACAGTGAATCTTCAGGGGGCATATTCACCTCCCCATAATAGATGTATCGTAGTAGTGACTCAAAAGCCTGTTTGCTGGGCACCATCTCACCAATAGAGATATTTACTTGACCATCCTCAGGCATGAAAGATCGGAACATGGCCTCAAAATAGCTGCACAGATGAATAGTAAAGTGGAAAGCAATTACTCCCATTTACATGCAAGGACCAGTCTATTTAATTGTAGATAAACAGGGCTGCTGCCTCACCGATAAGCTGATAGAATCTCATTGTTCATTTAACTACCCTTGCAGTCATTTCTACCATGCGGAAAATCTACTACATAACTAGAGATACAATTAACAGGATACACAGTACAATATACAATGTAGGCTAAAAAGACAGCCACTTTGCTTTTACCGATCATGTTTCTAGATTTTCAAGTCAGATCAATAAATTATTATACTGGACATCTCAAACCCAATTAAAACATGCACTGTTCATATAAGGGGCTTATGTATGTGGGCATTGTTAATGCATGCCAAACGCTGTTCAGCAAATTCCCATATACCTCAATGGTACATAGTGGCTGACAGTTCTGAGGCTGCATTTAACCTGGTTAATTGGTTAATGTTGGATTCTCTGACACAAAGTATCCTATTAGAGATGCGTTTGCACTGCATGCATAGGCAGTGAAATACATGCTTTTATGCAGAGCTTTGAATGAAAAAGCCAGCATTTGACAGCAAATCCCATGTACACAAGCACTTCGGTAAGATTACAGTTTTCTGGAGGCCGTTTGTCAACTTAATAATGAAATATTATTGGCTAGTATTTACCACAGAAAAAAAAATCCCAATATTTAGTTCCTATTTTTTTGTTTTTTAAACCAAATGTGAATGTGTGAAGTGAATGTGCACCTGGATCGGGCAGCCAGGATGGCTTTGTGTGCTGGTCTTGGGTGTCCATCGAGCAGTAATGTGATGTCACAAAAATCTCTTCCTGCACCTTCCAGATAAGCTTTCATATCCTGAACTAGGGACGTGCCTGAAACACATGAACACATGGATTGGAAAGTAGCAGTCTTAAATAAAGAGTCGTATATCTGTAAGCAGTGGCCACAACTTCCAGCAGTCCTACACCTGCAGCTATGCACTGCCAGAGAAAATGTCCTGGTCTGGAGTGGCCTGACCTGCAGCAGATTTAGCCATTTATGGTGCCAACTTAACCTAACGTATCAAGACATTTGGGGGTTTATTTACTAAAGCTGGAGAGTCCAAAATCAGACTCCCTTCTGCCTAGAAACCAATCAGCTTCTAACCTCAGCTTGTTCAATGAAGCTTTGGCAATGATACCTGGAAGCTGATTGGTTTCTATGCAGAAGGGAGTCTGATTTTGGACTCTCCAGCTTTAGTAAATAAACCCCCTTGGTATCAGTGATGAACATGACTGCATCACTTATCTGCATACGTGAACTGTGAAAGCCAACATTGTATGGTCTGCACAATAACCTTAACCACTTCCAGTCCGGACACTTTTACCCCCTTCCTGCCCAGGCCAATTTTCAGCTTTCAGTGCTATCACACTTTGAATGACAATTGCGCGGTCATGCAACACTGTGCCCATATTAATTTTTTAGCATTTTTTTGAGACAGATAAAACTTTATTTTGGTAGCATTTATTCACCACTGGGATTTTTATTTTTTTTTTCTATATAAATGAAAAAGTCTAAAAATTTTGAAAAATGTTTTCTTATAAAATTTTGCAAATAATCTTTCTTCATAAATATTGGCCAATATTTATTCAATTATCTTTTTAGTAAAAAAGAAAAATAACCCAAATTAGTTTTTATAACCAAAAAGTATAATTTTTTTTTTGTAATTTTTACATTATTTACGTTTTTTTTATTTTTTTTTCTACATATGGTCACCCTAGCAATACAGTGTCACCACAGTGACACTGTACTACTTGTGGGGGGTGATGAAGATTTTTTTTTTTTTTTTTTACACGGATTGCTTTTACACCCATAAAGGCTGTAAGAGCAATCATTTCTCCTTCTCTCTGGCTGCATTCTTGCAGCCATTGAGAAATACTGTGTGAGCTGTGATTGGTCACAGCTTGTGACATGATACAAGGTTGTTGTGAATAGCCTTGTACCATGTGACCTCTGTGATCATTCCTAGATTTCACACGTAGTAAGCAATGTTATCAGAAGTGACATCTTACTTACTACTCTTTCCCGGAAACAGCGAGAACCAGATCGTGGTGCTGCACGCTCCCAGGTAGCGAGCACAAGCAGGGAGTGGGGAGGACGTTTATAAACGGCCTCCTGCCCCTGCACTGCTCCCGTCCGGCCGTTTATATACATGGGCCGGACGGGAAGTGGTTAAAATATACACAGGAGTCATAGCTCCTGCTATGTCGGGCATTTGAAGGGAAAAAACAATTTTTCCCAGTGAATGTAAGAAGCTATACTATGCAAACGGTTCTCTACCAGCCTCCTCCACCATTTATCCAGTGCATCTTAAGAATCTGATTTATGAAACTGGAGCAAAGTCAGCTGATATTCAGATTCTTTTCCAATTAATCTGCAGGGCTGTAAATAATCAGATCCACTGATACAATTTAATTTCTAAATTCCATTATGTATGAAGTGAAAGCAAAAACCTGTTTGCTATGGTAAGCTGCATGGTGTTAGTTTGTTAATTATAAATATTTAAAACCATACATACTCACCTCCATAATAGAGTATATGTGATGTGCGTTCATGACCACTGATCGTTCAGTTCTCAGTCTACTCGGTGTGGAAAGCAGTATGTCATTGGCCACTCTCTGCTCCACCAGTGTTCACTGGAGTGCAGGGCTGGGGAGAGGGTGGGTGTGGCTGGCTGTCTCCCAGCCAACTGTCAATCAGGCAGTGGGGTGGATCCGAACAATATTGTCTGGATCCTTCCAAGACATTTTAAAACTCTGCTCCATCAGCTGATAGTAGTCTATAGTAGGCCATTAGCTGTCTCTGGGTCACATGAGTACAAAAGTGCACTCCTGTAACCCACAAGATAATTATGATCAGAGAAGCTTTCACCACACCTCTCTTTTAAAGTAGAGTTCCACGTTTAATTTAACATTAAAAATACTAATTCCATTACATAATTATGATGTTGCTGTGTTTGCTCTAATTAGCTACATACAGCACTGGGTTCCAGTAGCACTACAGGTGACTTTGTTGCTGGAAATAAATAAGAGTCACACTGAATGCCTTTCTACTATTCAGAAGAAGCCTTGTATTTTTATAAATATATACAACAACTTCCTCCGGTTGGCCATGGTGGAGAGGCAGACGGATGATGTTAGGATTTCTAACTTGGTCATTCAGAAGAATCCTAGGTATGTAATGGAAATAATTATATCAGGCTAGCTTGGTCCAAACTGCCTATTTAAAGCTAAAGAAAAAATGGAATCCCACTCTAAGGTCCAAGTGGGTTTGACAATTAAAATCGCACGCACGCACACACAATGTATATAAAAAATTTCTCTAATATGGTATGAAATATGGTATGGAATAATAACATTTGAAAAAGTTTTTTTTAGTATGATAAAATCTGAAATATTGCAGTTTGGTATCGTGCTACCAGCTAGCAGATGGAGCTTTAGGCTCCATTTTCACATTTATATGTCATCCTTAGCTGCTTTGCTGTAAAAAAGCAGGTTAACAAAGCTCAATCTGACATATACACACACTTAACTGAATGAGTTAGAGCAACGACTCCCCCCTCCTTTCTTAGGGACTCCATCAAAGTGGGGTATTGTGCTTGAACTTACTGATGCACTCAGTTTAAAAATCCCATAGTGCTCTGGGATTCTTTTGTTGTATTAAATGTTTATATTGGCCAGTTTTCAGGCAACCAGCTTATCAGGTGATCACTTTTTATTTGCTGGGAATTACCAGTTGGGGAAAATATGCTTGGCTCTAAGCCCTGTTTTAGCCCTGGTTCACACTGGACTCGACTTTGAAATTGTGCGACTTTCCTTGAAGTCCCACGATTTCAAAGCCACGTCAGTGCAATTTCAGGTGCGACTTTGGTGACATCTGTGTGACTTCATGCATAAGGATGTCTATGTAAGTCACACCTGAAATTGCAAAAAATAGTAAAGGAACCTTTTTTTCCCAAAATTGGTGCGGCATTGCAAAGTTGGAGTTGCACCGATTTCAACATTTCCATTACTGACAATAGGGTACAACTTATCTCCAATTTGAAACTGTCAAATCGCATGACAAGTTGCACCTGTGTGAACCAGAGCTTAGTCATATTACTGTTATTGACTGCTTTTTTACAGCATGCACATTTTCAAATTCATGTGACCAACCAAGTGCACAATTCGATGAAAATGTGTAGGCTCTTTCAGTATGAGTGGTTAAAACACAGTTTGTGTATTACAATTAACAGCTATTAGTATGCGGCTGTTAAAGTACAAAGTATACAGAAACCAGTTAAGAATTTCTTTATTTCAACTAGTCCACTGATTATGTGACTAGCAAAACCTGTTGGTGCTTGTAGGTCCCCATGACTGCAGACTGAGTAATCCTATAGGGCAGGCACCTCAAGGGCTAGATTAAATGAAATTAATCTGCAAAGGTCACACTTATTTCCAGGAACAACAGCACTCTGGTAATTCACATTATATACTTATTTAAACATTTGTTATAAAGTCATTTAAGTATAAAAATAAAAAAAATTACAAGTGTGCCCCTACATCAACTGGAGAACAATTGGGGCTTCATTTTCATTAATTTTATATTCATAAACCGGGTGATGGTCACAAACAAGGAGTGAGAGGGCAGCATGGATCAAAAACAGTTTGGTACTTCTATACTTCTGTTCCTTTCTACTTCTAGAAGACTAAACTGCTTGGAAAGATTGTTACACTACAAAAGGCATTTGCTGTAAAACACCAGCAGCATCATATTTTTGTCCACAAAGCAACAAACCTATATCAACAGGCTGATCTGAGTGAATCCGGATGGGAGGCTGCTGTTTCCTGCGTACAATCTCCACAATCAAGGCCGATGACAAATGCTCAAACTCTTTCATCATGATCACCTGGTTGAAGTGGGATTCCTTTACTACAAAGTTCAGGCAGTGCTCCTAAAACATAAGACAAGTCATTTGCAGGGGCAATAACAATCACCTACTAGCAAAACTAGTAATATACATAATGACACAAAATAAACGGTGTCTACTAGCTGCGACATATTTTCATTCCAAACAAACGTACATAAGCATGTTTTTAGAAGCCCATTTTTCTGGGGAGAGTTTGCAAAAGACATCAGCACTAAGTGGGATGTGTGACTGTTAGATCATAGAGTAAACGTGAAAGAGAGCCTTCTATCCAGAAAGAAAAGATTTGGCTTGCCCTACAGAGCTATCTGATAAAATAGATCAATTATTACAGGCCACCTTATGGCAGCTAAAAGTAGAAGGGAGAAATAGGTAACATATCAGTTACCCAGTAGAACAGGAAACAAATGGTGTGGCTCCGACGTCCAGGAACTACCAGCCTAAAACAGAGGGACATCGTTGTCATGTTGAAATGATACACCACAAAACATCAGCCTCAATACCGAAATGCAGCTTAATAAACAAACGATGCTTTCCAGGGTTTATGGAAGCAATCAGGCGGCTGTACAGCATAGTATATGTTGGTGGCAGTGACAGGTTTACAAGTTTTGCATATAGCAATTGACACTAAAAAAAAAAAAATAAAAAAAATAAATCCAATCTCAACCCACCAACTTTATATTTGTTACTGATAAGTGGGTGCCTGGCTTGGAACCCACTTAGGTCTTTACAGAAAAAACAGATTTCTAATAGGAAATGGGTACAGATTCAACAGTCAAAACGAGAACCTATTTAGTAAAAGTAAAGCTACATTTTACAAGAAATAGGACCTATAACCAAGGCAGACTGGACATCACCCCAGTTCTACATGAAGTGTGGACAGAGAGAAGATTCTGTTTTTTTCTACCCTATAAGCAGACCAAAACACGTTCAGTACAAAAAACACACGCTATTTAGGACATCTGCTTCTTCCCATGCTGTGGGAAGTTAAAACCTTGAGTTGTGAGCATTCGTACCTTCAACTGGTCCAGCTGCAGCTTGTTAGCATTTTCACACACTATAAGGACGTTCTGAAGGTCAACAGATGCTTCAATATACTGAACACATAGCTGCTCCAGCCGTGACAACTTGAAGTGGAGAGCCAATTTATATACATCCATGATAATGAGAACATCCTCAACGTGACCTAGATGGTGAGAATCAAACTAATGAAGTGATGGCACATATAGGTTATTGCCTGCCACTAGTCATGAAACATTCAATAATATTCAATAATACACATACAGGACAAGGCAGATGAGGTCTGATTATGTTACATGTACACAACAAACCTGCATTTACAAAAATGTATAAATATGCAGCTAATCTGACTACAGTATGACACAGTGCATACAGCAGATGAACCACTTAGTAATGGAAATCGTTTGTTTAGGCCAGCTTGGAGTTCAGCTGTAAGACCAAATAATTTGTAACTGCTGTGAGAGTACGTCTGTGTTCTTACATCTCTAGAAAGACCAAAAAAATAAAACTACTGACTACTTAAAAGGGTGTTAATCTAAAAAGGGAAAAATCTCCTATCCTGCATCCCAATGATAAAAGCAGCATGCATCCTGATACAAGGTATGCACAGAGTGAACTATTATCATGTCAGTGGGCAACAGAAGGCCAGCATGCTGTGTGTCTGTTTACACTTCTTTCACCACAACAATTCAAGTGTTACTAAACCCACAACAGTAAAATCAGTCTGTATATGCAGTAAAGCATGCTTGTTATACTCACTGTGGAACCTAAGGGGTTAATCCTGCACATTGTGTAAAAAGGACGTTTGATCCTGTTTCTCTGTCCCTCCTTTTGTTCAAATGTCCACCTGATAAGCCAGACTGAACCCGTAGCCACATGCTCAGTTTAGTGTGTATTGCTAGAGGGTTTTTTTTTTTTTTTTCTTGGGCGAGTGCTTGTGATCAGCACAGGGCCAATCAGCGCTGTCCAGACAGAGGGTCAGAGGTTTCACATCCTCCTAGAGCAGAAAGAAAACTCCTCCTATAGGCTTTAACTAGTGCTCTGCTGAAGTCACAAGACTGCTCTAACTGCTGATGAGAAAAAGTATTTAGCAGTTTACTTTTACTAACATAATTGCACTTCCATGTTGTGTGTACTGTGGGAGAGCAGATATAGTGAATGCAGGGTACTGGGTTTAGTAACACTAAAAAGGGGTGTTAGGGCTATACAAATAATAAAGAAATGACTGTTCAAAAAAATGAATCATCTCTTGGAAGGAAATATTTTATTATTCATGTTCAGTATATAGACTGTTAAAGAGCAGATATCACAACAGATGCAGAATGAGACAGAACATTAGATATGCTTGTATACTCGTACCTTCATCATTGTTTGTTTTTAATAACATTCAAAGATTAAGGACAGTAACAGTATCTAAGGACGTTAACGTTTCATCGGGACTAATATTAAATCTGTTGGTGTCAGCCTTAAGCTAAAACCCCAATCAAAAGTCAGGACAGTAATCAATTTACTCCCCACTTTTTCCCAAGTAAGGTAGAGGCAAAAAAAAAAAAAAAAAAGGTGAAAAAGATGGTCTTTCTGCAATTATTTACAGCAAATTCTGTAACATCCTGTGCCCAGTTGGCAGCCCCACTGACCTTTCCGTGGATACTTTATCTTGTCTGTATACAGGAACTGCATGAGAAGTTCAAATGGTCTTGGTTCAGCATCTCTGATGACAACTTCCAGCATGGGCAGAGATCGGAACAATTTTGCATTGCCATTTCCATTTTCTTGCTTTTGTTGTGCACTTTGACAGTCTTCCTCAGAATCTGGCTTTAATTTCTGGTTGAACAAAACACAAGAAAAGTATTTTGTATTGCAAAGCTAAGGTCTGATTCAAAATATGGTGCAGAGACATGAGTTTTTCTGCACATGTTCTGCAAGGGCACAAAGCAATCAATTTTTCTCCATGTGCCATGTTCAAACCACAACACTAGTATCACCTGCAGATTTTTTCTTCGCAGGAATCTGCAACATGTATAAAACTCACTGAAACGCACTTGAAAACTGATGTAAACTCGTGTCTCTGCAACTGAAATCCGTGCATTTTTTCCATCAGTTTTTCTGCACGCATGGTGTGCATGAGGCATAAAACTTACAAAAACCTCACAAATATGACAAATTAGCCAGTGGGTAATAAGTCCATAATGGCAGATTACTTCATCATAATACAGCCACGGCAATATTTTTGTTTTAACTCAAGATATCAGCAAACCAGTTCAGGACCAAAACACTTTTTTTTGGAAACATCTTTCACTTTTAGGACATTTTCACATTTCTGATTCTCCTTTGTGAAATAAAAAGTATTGTGAGTACTTACATGTCTCTGCCGCTCTCTTGCCTGGGTAATCTTTTTTCTTAGCCATTTACATCGGGCAGTCACAATAGCTGTGTGTCCTCTCATTTTCTCCTCTTTCTAGTGACAATAAAGAAAAAGAACATTAACGCAAAGCATAAACTTTCATATCAAAAGACAATACTGAGATTCTGAGCTTTAGACAAACTTCCCTGCATATTCCATAGATTTGCTTGGTGATTTTTACATGTATTATGTGTTCAGACAAAAAAAAAAAAAAAAAGGCTTAAATCAATCTGCTACAGGTGATTGCTTGGTTAACCTGTGACCTTTATGGTTCCAAAAAGTTCTTCAGACATAGAATAATTCACTTATTTATACTGTACTAATGTGCTCCACATACATAGAACCCATGTGCATCACCTCCTGTCTCCAAAGAAGCCAACAATTAAATACCGCTGCTACAGGCTTACATACTAGGCCAATTTATGAAGGAAGGAAATTAAAGCTTTTAGGCTGTGGTAGGAATAAATACTGAATAAATCTGCATAAACCAGACAAAAAGGACATACGCTCAGTGGAGATGGTGTCCACAGAGCATATCAAGCGCAGGACCATAGTGCTGCAATGCCACAGTGCCAAACACTAAATTACAATGTTGCCAAGAACTGGACTACACAGTAATAAAAACTAAAAAATTGTATAGCACTGTAGGGACATTAGTGTTCTCCATAATAGACACCCCACAGGTACATTCTGAAACCTACTACTGGACAACCAGTCCCCAAGAAATGCTTATGCACTTAAGAGTATAGGAGACAATATGCTGGAAATTGGTCATGTTAACACCAATTTGACAGTTCTCAACTTGCCGAATGCACCTTACAGTTACAACTTACTTCTCCTAAAATAAACTCCACATCACAGAATTGTTGGTTCTCAAACAGCCTTCCATAGTCCTCATGTAAAGTGCACTTGGGGTAACAAGAGAACTGCAAAACAAAAAAAAAAAAATTGTAACAATTGTATATGTCTTGTGCTTAGGTCATGGAGAACTCTTTTTGAAACCATACCCATTCAAAAAATACACTATATTGCCAAAAGTATTGGGACGCCTGCCTTTACACACACATGAACTTTAATGGCATCCCAGTCTTAGTCTTCAGGGTTCAATATTGAGTTGGCCCACCCTTTGCAGCTATAACAGCTTCAACTCTTCTGGGAAGGCTGTCCACAAGGTTTAGGAGTGTGTCTATGGGAATGTTTGACCATTCTTCCAGAAGCGCATTTGTGAGGTCAGGCACTTGTGTCAGACAAGAACTGGCTTGCAGTCTCCACTCTCATTCATCCCAAAGGTGTTCTATCTGGTTGAGGTCAGGACTCTGTGCAGGGCAGTTAAGTTCCTTCACCCCAAACCCGCTCATCCATGTCTTTATGGACCTTGCTTTGTGCACTGGTGCGCAGTCATGTTGGAACAGGATGGGGCCATCCCTAAACTGTTCCCACAAAATATCTTGGTATGCTGACAACTTAAGAGTTCCCTTCACTGGAACTAAGGGGCCAAGCCCAACCCCTGAAAAACAACCCCACACCATAATCCCCCCTCCAAACTTTACACTTGGCACAATTCAGTCAGCTAAGTACCGTTCTCTAGGGAACCGCCAAACCCAGACACACCAATCAGATTGCCAGACAGAGAAGCATGATTTGCCACTCCAGAGAACATGTCTCCACTGCTCTAGAGTCCAGTGGCGGCGTGCTTTACACCACTACATCCGACACTTTACATTGCACTTGGTGATGTAAGGCTTGGATGCAGCTGCTCAGCCACGGAAACCCATTCTGTGAAGCTCTCTACACACTCTTATGCTAATCTGAAAGCTTGGAGGTCTTTAGCTGTTATTGCAGAGAGCTGGCGAATTCTGTGCACAGTGCTCTTCGGCATGTGCTGACCCCGCTCTGTCATTTTACGTGGCCTACCACTTCGTAGCTGACATGCTTCCACCTTGTTATAATACCACTAACAGTTGAGCGTGGAATATTTAGTAGCAAGGACATTTCACGGATGAAATTATTGCACAGGTGGCAACCTATCACGGGTAGCACACTTGGAGTCACTGTGCTGAGAGCGACCCATTCTTTCACAAATGTTGAAAAAGCAGTCTGCATGCCTAGGTGCTTGATTTTATACAACTGTGACCATGGAGGTGATTGGAACACCTGAATCCAATGATTTGGACGGGTTTCCCAATACTTTTGGCAATATAGTGTATGTGCCAGCTATAAATCAGATTCACTAACATGCTTTATTCCAAAATTTTGCAACACTTTAATATTTACCATTTGTACGTATCTTCTGAAGTAAAAATCTCAGTCAGAAGTTTTGGACCTTTCATATATTAGGTTCAAGGTACTGTCTCAAAAGTTAAAAATCATAAATGGAAAGCAGAATTTTATCAATAATTCTAGAACACCTACCTCTCTACAACCACTGACTAATACTACATAAAATGCAGTGAATCAAGGAGGCAAGTTCGCAGAACAGCAAAATCTTAGTTCATATTTAAGAGTAGAAATATATAGTCATCCAATTTATTTTCTGACCTGAAAGCGATACATCTCTCCACTTCTGACATTATTATCCACAGTCCCACCAAAGATGTACATGGCATCTGCAATCACGGCTGCAGCATGAAACAAGCGGCCACTGGGCAACTGTAATGCAAACAATGAGTAACCATCACAAGGTCTAGCGTGCTGTAAAACCTTCTATTCTTGTACACATAGAAAATGTAATTGTGCTACAGTTCACTTTATCCACACAAAATATTAGGCGTTTTTTCCCCTCCTATATATTAAACAAAAAAAAAAAATCAGGTGGAGACAAAAATTACACTGGAGCTATTTAAGGTTTATTTATGATTATTATATACTGTATGTGCCAAGGTTTAAGATCTGCAGACATCCAACACTTGTGGACCTACTGCAGACTAGGAAAAGTCAAGAGATTAAGTGCCAAATGCAGTAAACCACAGCAAACAATCACATTTCCGTTTTGTTGTATTTAGATCAATGAAAAATTAAATCTGATTGGTGGCTGTGGATTTACTTGCACTGCTAAAAAATAGGCCTACTGGAATTCATCCTTTGTGAGCCAAGACTTGCTACTCTGGTATACTGAAGCAACGATATAAAGGCACCCCTTTCCTATTAAAGAATGTATGAATTGAAAATTAATTTATTCCCCCTGACATCAACAATCTGTACTTTACGATTTTAAAAAGGTACACTTCCCCATGCCATGAGAATATTAAATTTTCAGTTAAGAAGTAAGATTATGCAGCTGTGTGTGCTTCTACTTGTCTGAGCATGCTAGTTATGACAGCTCAACGTTTCCAGCTAGTGATTAGGAACCACATTCAATATGGTTCCCAATAAAGTGATCACCATGACAGGCAATTGTGGTGATAACAGAAGTTTGTTTTTAAACTAACCTCTCAGCTGGAGTGGTCACTGTGCCTTGCACATAGAGAAGTGCAGTGGTGACTGAAGTGGTCAGGCTGCAACCTTCACTGAATTACAGTGTACATAAACTAAAAAAATTCAGCTGAAAAAAAAAACTGATTAACTTTGCAATAATGGGAGTTTACTTCCTAGTTTTGTGGCTACAAAATAGCTGCAGGTCTCCAAATAGTGAGCAGGAACCAATAAGGATGATTCCAAATCATGGGATTAACCAAAACAGCCAATCATGTTAGTCACAGAGGTTTGTTTACAATGTTGCTAAATTTGGTCTGAGTTTTTATGCTATAACGATCCCTAGTCATGAAAAAGATAATGGCTGCATGGCCTAATGGGCAATTGACCTTTTCTCAAAGAGTTAGGTCATTCCAATATACAGCACATACACAGGAAAGAACAACTGTCAGCATGTTTACAGGTAGTATAGAGATACACTAAAGGGATTAAAAAAAAAAAAAATTACATATATATATATATATATATATATATATATATATATATATATATATATATATATATATATATATATATATATATTACACATATATATATACATACATATACACACACACACACATACATATATACATACATACACACACACACTGAGGAGGATCTTACCTCACTATCTGGACTGGGCTGGATCACTTCCCAGGACTGGGAGTCAACATCATAGCAGTGCAATTCATTAGGCAAAGTGTTATCTGCTGCACCCCCAAAACACATACAGGTGGCGATCAAAAGCCACCATTGTGTGTCCATAGCGTCTCTGTGGGGGAGGAGGGGAACCGCGCAGTAAGTGCTCGGTAGGGATACGCATCCAGCTGTACCACAAGAAATAACATATCAGAACAGTAAATCTGTCATTTGTATGCTATTACTAATATTGCTATATGCTAATGTGTCCATAGTTTAGGAATCACTACATACTGTAAGACATTGTGATAATACAGACATTAACCTCCCTGGCGGTATGATCATGTCAGGAATTTTGTGCTGAAAGCGGTACCATTTTTTTCCATGGAAATATGTAGTTTTTAATTGTAGGCTGTAATTTTTTAGGAATAACTCACTGAAATCTATCCGAAAAAGAGTCTATTAAACATTCCGGATATGATAAAACTTGAAACACGAAATCATAAATTATAATTTAATAAATAATCATAAAAAATAATAATATAATAATAATAAATTTAATTCAATAATATAATCAAACCAAAAACACTGAAATTTGAAATACAGAGGGCAAATTCGCACATCGCTGAGCAAAGTCGCAAAATCGTTTTCAGTGTCTGATGACGAATTTCCCCCACGAATCATTATCACTCAATTCTGCAAGTGGTTCTGATTTACTATCGCTGTTCTAAAACCGCTTTTGACGTAAAGGGATGCTTTTTGGCCGCCATGGACTTTTCTAAGTTTCCAGGCAGAAAGAACAGTCAAAATGCAGGCAGGGCGCAGGACAAAGCAGTGGGGACAAAATGTATGTGAAATGCAGTGAAACAGCAATGACAGCAAAAATGTCATTTTTTAAAAATTTCAAATTTCCTGCCGGTTCCGCCGCCCGAATGTTCCGACGTCACGGGGACCGGAACACGGAAGCCAGATGCCGGCATCCGCCGGAGGAGATGGACGGGGACACTGCAGGGGACCCATCGTGGGAGCGAAGGACAAGGTAAGTGCTGCAGGGACCCCCAGAGAACGCTGGCTGTCTGTATCTGGTTTGTGAGCTATAAACTTTAGGTTATAATGGCAGTCATACATCAGCTAAATGTGATATGAAGACTTTACATTTATAGACTGTAAAATATCCAGTTAACTGGTACAGAGCCCTTATAGATCACTTTAAGGCTCATTCTGCAAGCGGTGAGCTGTACCTTTACACACACAGCACGCTGTTCTGCAAGTCTTTAGCAAAATAGCTTTACAGCCTTTACTGCACAACCAAAACACTTCACCTATGATGAATGGAGTGGTTATTCGAGCACAGGGCTGCCAGAAACTAGTGCATTTACTGTGCCTGAAAAACACACAGCAGCTCTGCCAGTCTCACGTTTCAAGCATGTAGTCAAGGACACAGTTGTGACTTCATAGAGAAACTAATTAGTCTTACAGTATGAAGGACATTGTTAGAACCAGTAATGAGCTGTATGAACACTGGATTTACTTTCCTGACTCAAGAGCTTTGTTCAAAGCCATGCATTCTGTGTGTGAAATATATTAGGAAAATATTTGATTCTCACACTTTCTCTTCAAATTCAAATTGGAACAAGTTGTTTGTGATCTTTGCCCCACTTTGACCAGAAAAAACAAACATTTTATCCCTGCAGACAGCCACTGGGAAGTTACAGCAAGATGGTGGGATCTCTCCACTCTGCTCGATCTGCAAAACAAACATCAAGTCTTCAGTTACACTCACCATGTGAGAGACATCTCACTGAGCAATCAGAGGCACACTGCATCTATCCACAGTCACACACAGATCTTGGGCTGACAACGATCTTTTATTAGCAAGGAAGAATAGATTATCAAGCCTCACTTACCAGGCAACCAGTGGTAAAGACCAGAAATAAGATGGTTGCCAGATCTTCTAACACTTTTACATTATTATTATACAGGATTTATATAGTGCCAACAGTTTGCTCAGCACTTTACAATATAACGGGAGACAATACAGCATCGATGCAGTTCAATACAAGAGGGTTAGGAGGCCTGATCCTTACAATCTAAGATTAATTCAGCTATATTTATGTATCGGATAAATAAAAAGTGTTTTTGCACTTAATGTAAAAAATATATGGTAGGAGATATTCACTTTTACTAGACTGTTTGGAATTATTATTACAGACTTCAGTTTATTTAACAATTATTTTCTGGATGCGCACTTATTATATGTATATATTTATGTATCCATTGGAGTTTGCAGCCTTTAAATACCGCAAGACAAATTTAAGTAACTATTATAAACTCCAAATTTTGTAGAAATGTTATATTACCTCTTCCCAAGTTGATAAATCCCGGTCTTGCAAACTGATTGTCCACATGTCATTTAGCCTAAATACAAGAATACATATCAGTTAATAAAATGTGTGCATGATCAAGGTCTATAATCTGTACAAAGTGGATCAATGTGCAGAATTCTATATAAAGCAGATGGGCGTGCTGATCCTAACTAATGAATTATTATTAATTTTACAAATTCCAATCTCACTGCTTTATTTGTGCAGAATGCATTTCTCACAAGTTCACATTTTATTGGAAAGGTTGAGGTTTTGAGCGGTATAAGGCAGAACTCAATCCCTTATTAGGTCTGTCTGACCTGCCTGGGAGACCTTCCCCCAAAACCAATCTAATCATTACAGTCAATGCTTTGCTATGAGCTAAACTTTCTACTGCTGCCTGAAGTGCATATGCCAAACATATTCCTATAGAAAACCTACTCCCTAGTGGATTCTTCATAGAATACTTGAATAGTGCACAGACAGAAGAAGGAACAAAGAAGTTGAACTCTTAAACTCTAGCTCACTCCACCCCAAACCAAAACATATGTAAAGTTACACTTACATTAGAAGGCAGCATACACTAATAAATCACAAGCACAAGCTAATTTGATGAAATCAGTGATGACAACCCATTTTCCTTTAAAGAAGTTCACCTTTTAACAAAAAATAATAAATGCACATTTTTAAACCTGCAAAAAAATGTGAATTATTTTTTATTTCAGTAAAACAGTGCACCAGTGATCAGCAGATCGCTGGTGCCATGAAGTTCTCCTGCAGACCTGTCAGTGTATCTATGTGCCCGTACAGCACCGTGGTAGTTCATTGAGAACTATAAGCCGACAGTGACAAAGGCAGTCAGAACTTGTGTTCTCATTCACAGAATGAATGAGAGACAGAGAAAAGAAGATCCCCTGCTAGCTGTCACAACAGGGAGCAGGGGCTGGTCCGTTCGTAACATGTATCATGTTACACAGTAAATATGGGTGTAACATGTAACATGTTATGAAAGGTGAACTTTAATTCTTTAAGTTACATTTCTGCGCTCTACTACATCATATTTTAGGACATTAATATTACTAAATTTACAGTTTCTACATGCCTATCCTAGATTTGTTTATTCCAATATGCAATATGTACTATCCAAAGAAAACACTGTGAATATGTTTAGCATACCTGGCATTGCCATCATATCCAGCAAAAATCCAAAGTTTATCATTGTATACTGTAGCTCCGTGTGCTGAGCGTGCCACTGGTAATCTAAAAGGAGGAGGAAGAGATCAGGCCAGTAGAGGAGGACACATCACAGATAAGTAAAAACACACCTCCATGCCTTAAAGCACCTAATCCATCTCAGAAAAAAAAACAAAAAAAAAAAAAAAAAACTTCCAGAAATCAATTTATAGGGCAAGATTTGTTTTATACTTTCCTTGCCATTCACCAAACAGTATCTGAAGTTTGCTTAGAGCTTGCAAATAAATTTCCCAAACAGATGAGATGACACCTCAGTGAGATGAGGACAGATGGTGAAGTGTAGATGTTTGGGGGAGAAAATTAGTGTGGGGCTGTGTTTGTTATAAATGTACATCTATTATGAATGTATCTATTATTCATTACATCAAATCATTTTCAAGGAAATATATTTGTACAAGTATGCTTGTCAGACTTCTGGGTTCATTAGCAATTAGTCCAGCCCTGTATACAGTACAAATTTGAGGGTATCCTAACCAATGACCCAGATTAACATATACCTTGCCAAGTAAATATCAAGTTAAATGCACCAGAGGAATCAGGAGATATAGAGAACAATAATTATTCAAAATTACATTTTTTTTCCAAGGCAAGCTACAGATACGAGATGGCAGAAGATCCAAATGTATGCATAATTGAAACCACGCAGACATCCTTGGATGCCTTCTATCAGGAAACCAATTGAAAGAAATCATTTTTTTGGCAGGAAACGGATTCTTCTTTAACCTTTAGCCCTGCTACAGGCAAGCAGCAAGGCTCACCTATCAGGTGGAAGCACTTGAGTGGCTGTGCTGCTGCCCGAGTGCTTCCACACAGCCCACTACAGTGCCAGCCACCTACCCCCTATGTCTCACCAGTTCAGCGGGTATATGGGAGAGAGGACATGTCCGCTCCCCCTCCCTTCTTGTTCTGACCTGGAAGTGACGTCACTTCTGGGTCCCCGTTGACAGATTTCCCGGCCAGAAGGCTGGGAAAGAATATAACACAGTGTGATTTGCACTGCATTACATCCAGTGGAGTACAGGGGAGACATGCAGGGTCTTTTAGACCATGGATGTCTCAAAGAGAACCTGTGAGCAAAAATCATCACTTTTTGTCCCCTATGTAGTGAAAAAAAAAAAAAGTAAAAAAAAAAAAAAATTTTTTTTTAAAATTGTAAAAAATTAAGGTTACAGCCAAGCATATAACCTCCCCCCCAAAAAATTGAGGTCCCCACAAATATGCACAAACGGAAAAGTACACATGAAAACGTCAATTACGATACACAGGTAACATATCGCTGCTCAGGCCAGAGAATGAGAGCATCAATTTTTTAGCACAAGCTCTCTTCCGTAATGCTAAACTGATGACTTACAAGGGGCTTTAAAAGCGTTGTCTATAGAAAATATAGAATACTAAAGTGTGTCGCCATTCCACGAGCACACGCAAATTTAAAGGTTGATATGCTGGATATCTATTTACTCAGTGCAACCTCATCTTTTATATTTTACTAAAAATTTGGTAATGTATTCCTTTTTTGTGCCCCAAAGTTAAATTAAGTGCATTTTTTACTAAAATGTTGCGTTTCCTAGACCTTTGTGGTGATAATCGTGTGACATAAAAAATTGGAACTACCATATTTTTATTCTCTCAGGTTTCTGCTTTCTTAAAATATATAATATTTGGGGGTTTTATGTAAACGTCTTCAAAAAATGGCTCTGGCAGCGAAAGGGATAAAGCATAAGCCCGACAATTCCCTTTCCTGACGAGCACCCAATCAGTGCTCATTAAACTGCAAGGTCTCTCTCCTCCCTGCTAGTCCCTGGGTGCAAGTGTTGGAGACAGGCAGTGAGGTGAGGAGAAGATCAACAGCGCAATGTTAAAAATATTAAATGTTTAAGTCGCCATAAAGTCCCTTTTGTTTTTAAAAGCTCCAGACATTCCTAAAAGCACCTCAGATTTAAATACGGTTTTGGTTAAATTTTTATTTTTTTATTTTTTAATTTGGACCAGTAGATTTTCATGAGGGACAAGTAGATTGGGATACCGATTTAGTCACTGGACAAGTTGTTTTTTTCAAAACTTTCCATACCCCTACCAGGCGTGGAAGGGGCTGCACATATTCTGCATACACTGGCTTTTATCACAATTTCCAAGCAAAATCAGGAAATAAAAAAGTAATATATGTCAAAGTATGTGTCCTCTACCAAAATATGACATAAGACATTCACAATGCCGATCTACAAACCTTCCTTCAATTTTCCATTCTGTCCAGAGACCGGTTGCAAACTTGTACTCAAACAAATCGTTCTTGTTCTTCAGATTTGAATTGGAGTAGATGTCCCCAGTGTAGCCACCTAGACATATGTTAATAATATGCATCAGCACTTATGATGCTTAAAAATAACAGCTTAATTACTGCAAATGGGAAGTATTGTATTCAACCTCTGCCATATTTCATTTAAAGTACAACTAAAAGGCAAAAACTTTTTTTTCATTTTTGATATAATAATGAAGCGTTATAACCTTTGTCAGTTATTTTGCCATCTGTGTCCCCATAGGAAGATTTCCCCTCTATTTCTGTTCTGGGGACAACCTGAAATTGGAGTTTTGATTTCATTTTCACACTCAGTGATAAAAGTAAACAGGATGAGTAGAAAGGGTGAATCTACCTAAAGACAGCAATAAACCTCTGACAAGGGTTCTAATCCCTCTATACTCTATCCAAAAATGCCTTATACTTTAAGTTCTAAATTGTATTTCTACGTGTCTTAACATTTAAGCTCGTATTGCTGATCCTGCCAGAAATCCAGGGATCTTCTTAGCCTGTTGAGAGTGCAGGATTTAATCTAGTACTCAATTGTTTACACAGTTGTACAGTGAAGGAAATAAGTATTTGATCCCCTGCCGATTTTGAATGTTTGCCCACTCACAAAGAAATGATCAGACTAAAAATCGAATGGTAGGTGTATTGTAACACAGAGACAGAATAGCAAGAAAAAATTCAAAAGAAATGCATGTCTAACAAATGATGCACGGATTTGCATGTTCACGAGGGAAATAAGTATTTGATCCCCTTCACAAAACGTGACTTAGTACTTGGTGGCAAATCCCTTGTTGGCAATCACAGAGGTCAGACGTTTCCTGTAGTTGGCCACCAGGTTTGCACACATCTCAGGAGGGATTTTGGCCCACTCCTCTCCAAGTCATTAAGGTTTGGTGGTTGACGTTTGGCAACTCTAACTTTCAGCTCCCTCTACAGATTTTCAACCGGATTAAGGTCTGGAGACTGGCTAGGCCACTTCAGGACCATAATGTGCATCTTTTTGAGCCACTCCTTTGTTGCTTTGGCCGTGTGTTTTGGGTCATTGTCATGCTGGAACACCCATCCACAACCTATTTTCAATGCCCTGGCTGAGGGAAGAAGGTTCTCACCCAAGATTTAAAGGTACATTGCCCCGTCCATCGTCTCCTTTGATATGGAGTTGTCCTGTCCCCTTAGCAGAAAAAAAACCCCAAAGCAGAATGTTAACACCACCATGTTTGACAGTTGGGATGGTGTTCTTGGGGTCATAGGCAGCATTCCTCCTCCTCCAAACATGGTGAGTTGAGTTGATGCCAAAGAGCTCAATTTTGGTCTCATCTGACCACAACACTTTCAACCAGTCCTCCTCTGCATCATTCAGATGTTCAGTGGCAAACTTCAGACGGGCCTGGGCATGTGCTTTCTTGAGCAGAGGGACCTTGCGGGCACTGCAGGATTTCAATCCTTGTCGGTGTAGTGTGTTACCAATTGTTTTCTTGGTGACTGTGGTCCCGGCTGCCTGGAGATCATTGACAAGATCCTCACGTGTAGTTCTGGGATGATTCCTCACTGTTCTCATGATCATTGACACTTCATGGAGGTGAGATCTTGCATGGTGCACAAGACCTAGGGAGACTGACAGCTGTTTTGTGTTTCTTCCATTTGCGAATGATTGCACCAACTGTTGTCACCTTCTCAAGCTAGGCGATAGTTTGGTAGCCCAGTCCAGCCTTGTGTAGGTCTACAATCTTGTCCCTGACATCCTTGGACAGCTCTTCGGTCTTTGCCATGGTGAAGAGTTTGGAATCTAATTGTTTGAGTGCTCTTGTGGACAGGTGTCTTATATTCAGGTAACAAAATGAGATTAGCAGCACTCCCTTTAAGAGACTGCTTCTAATCTCAGCTTGTTACCTGTATGAAAGACACCTGGTAGCCAGAAATCCTGCTGAATGATAGGGGATCAAATACTTATTTCCCTCATAAACATGCAAATCAGTGCATCATTTGTTAGCCATGCATTTCTTTTGATTTTTTTTGTTGCTATTCTGTCTCTCAGTGTTACAATACACCTACCATTCGATTGTTAGACTGATCATTTACTTGTGAGTGGGCAAACATTCAAAATCAGCAGGGGATCAAATACTTATTTCCTTCACTGTATGTCAAGGAGCAGTTGCAGTTAAGAAGAGCTTTATTTTTTAACCTCTTTGAAAATCCTGTGAGTCCATCTAAGTGTGTTAGAACATATGTTTACATTTTTTTATTATACATATACACACACATCAAATGTAATACTTAAAGCAGAATTCTCTCATATTACTTATAACTGTCACTTTACTCACCAAACACGAACATGCTGCTTCCATATACCACAGCTGAATGATGATATCGTGGTGCTGGGGGAGTTCCAGTTGTAAATGCCCTATTTAAGTAAATACAAATATTTGTTAGAGAACAGTTTACATTTTCTATACATTTACTCTATCCATAACAGAAAGCAGCAATTTAAAGATGTTTCTTTCATTTACAGTTATCAAACAAAATTTTTGAAAAAAAAAATGATAACTCTTGCCCAAGGCCCAACTCTTGCCAAAATGTTTTGTTTCATTTTGGATAAAGCAGTTCTGTTCTGTTATATTGTTGTCTGTGCTGCTATTGGTGAGACTCCCCCTTGCTTCTTGTTCAATTTTTTAAACTTAATAAAATAATGAGCTGGCACAGAGCAACTAAAGTTATCAGTAGTCACATTGCTGACAGAACACATACCTGCACCAGGAGCAGTCTTTCACATCAAACCTCAGCAAGTCATTTAGCATGTTCTTCCTGTGATTAAAAATGTTAACAATCATTTCTCCTCCTCTGACACATTCTGTGTTAAAGGGAAACTATTCTATTTTTTCAGTCTGTACAGTTATTGGAACAGCATTTTGCCCACCATTTTGTGTACTATTTTAGAATTTGAGGACTGTATTTAAAAAAACTATCCTGGTGATTTTTTTTCTCTTGTACCTTTATATCAGGCAGCCCATTTAACATTCCAGCTGATGTATTGCAGAGACAAAATGAACTGCATATAAGCCACACAGGGAGTGTGTTGTGTTTGCTCAGCTTGATAAATTGCCCACAATGATCTGCCTCCTAATATATTATATGTCTAGTGTTTGTATTTTCTCCTTGTATACATGGTGTTCCGCCAGGTGATCTGGTACTGTATTTACACAGCATTGTGTCCAAGCAGTCAGGACTCTTGATTTGCAGATCTTGGTACTGGGTCTCAATTGAACCTAGGGCATAATATGCATGGAGAATTCAAATTGTCTTTTTATTTGCATTAGGTACCTATATGTGTTCCAATTTCCTGCAACAATCCAAAAGCATACAAACAGGCTACTTGCTTTGCCCCTAAAAACTGGCCCTAGTGTTCACTCCTTTTGGTGAAAAGAAACAATTCTATGCATTCTGTAAATCCCTCCATGTCAGAGCTAAATATACGTTTGTCTAAAAAAGAAAACAAAATAGCTGCCACCTTGGAGTTCAGCTTTGAAATTAATCTGGGACCAGGCTTTGCACTGTGGAGCAATTTATACTCAAAGTTTTCAGCAGAAAGCACTGCAGCTCTTTGGGTCCATCTCTAACCAGCCCAGTTTAGGGTGCTCCCATTCATATACCATCTGTTCTGTGTCAGAGACTAAAAAGCTGCCTAGTCATTACTGGCAGGAGGAGCAGAGCGAGCTGAACTGGTGAGAGAACTATTTGAATGACCTCAGTGCTTTTGCTGCATGCACCTGCAGAAGTCATGGAGAGCATGTTTTAAAGCTTTTTTACTGTTACCACAAACTTGTAAATACTTGAATGCCTATAGCCTTTCTATAAATACTAGTGAAAACACTGCTGGGCATGGGGTGGGTCATATATTACATGTTCATTTTATTTTAACCTACCCGTTATCACCACCAAAGACATATATAGCATCTTTGTAAGCTACAACAGTGTGTTTACTGCGTCTGTGAAAAAAAAAAAGAATAGAAAAAGCATATTTATATGTACAGAAATTCATAAACAAATGTATAGTTACAAATCTGCTTAAAGAGAACCCATTAGGCCTCTAATGATTTTAAATCTGCACTTAACTGCGATAGAAGGCAGTATACTCAACTTTATTTTATCAATTTCTACTACCTTACTTGCATTCCTGCACTTGGAAAGCCTGTTTGGCATTTGACACTTCCATAAATGCCAGAATTACAGCATTGTAAAAGGTAGGAGAAACAGGCTCCCAGGGAGAATGTACACAATTGTCTACTGCAGTGGAGTGCAGCTTTTAAGAGGCCTGAAATGGTATATCTATCCAAGTAGCTGGTCTTCAATAAACCATTAAAAAGCTATTCCTGAATTCCAGAAACTGTTACAAGGTTCAATTACTCTAAATCTGCTAGAGAAAACCTTGTTTTAAAAAAAAAAAAAAAAAACTGACTGTGAACATTGACACACCTTTATTTTCAGACAGCCCATAAATTTCCAGACACCTGCAAACCCTGGGAAGCAATCCTTCTGACTGTAGGCTTACTTTGCTCCAGTGTCAGAGATCAGTGATGTCCACACTTACCAAAAATCCTCACAAATTGGCAGTGTAGAAGTCTTCAAAATGCCTTTCAGTAAATGTATACACTCATATGGTCAGCAAATGACAGCCATTCTTTGTGTACCAGAATAGATATCTTACCACTGTCTGCCCCGATACAAAGCAAGCCATAACTTGGGTTGTCCTGTGTCCACATACTCCCCCCAACAGTTTGCACTTTTGCCTAACAGAACTAGGGTGGTTTGAATCCCAATCGCGGCACTACCTGCCCAGAGTATGCATGTTCTATCTGTGCCTGTGTTGGTTTCCTCAGGGTACTCTGGTTACCTCCCACACTCCAAAGACCTTAGATTGTATGCTCCTTTAGGGTTAGGGACTGATGTTAATGTACAATATATGTAAAGTGCTGTGTAAATTGACGGCACTATGTTACGAACTGTAATAAATAAAATTAACAAGAGAGGGTTCAGAGGACCCTGCTTGTGGCAACTTATCATCTAAACAGAGGAACAAATAAAACAAAATGGTAATTACTGTGTGGGATGTGTTGACAGAAAAAGTACATAATGTGATGGTGGGGATGCTAGAGACAGGAGGTCTTAGAAGAACCAAGGAGGACAGTTTGGGTGATATTTTGAGACTAGGTTGGTGATGTACTGTGTGTGTATATAACGCACGCACGCAAGCGCACACACACGCGCACACACACGCGCACACACACACAATATTGCTAAAACATTTGTGAAAGAATGCGTAACTCTCAGCTCAGTGAATTCATGCACAGTACTGTGATAGGTTGCCACCTGTGTACAATGTACAATTGCCTGAGCTCCTACCTCACTGACAACAACCTTCTTGACCCTTTACAGTCTGGCTTTCGCTCTCTACACTCCACTGAAACTGCCCTATTAAAACTCACTAATGATTTACTAACTGCTAAAACCAATGGCCACTACTCCGTACTCTTACTACTTGACCTCTCTGTGGCTTTTGATACTGCTGACCATCCCCCTCCTCCTCAAACAATTCCACTCTCTTGGCCTCATAGACTCCGCTCTCTCCTGGTTCACCTCCTACCTATCACAGCGCTCCTTCAGCGTTACCTATAACTCTGCCTCCTCCTCTTCACTCCCTCTTTCTGTAGGGATCCCTCAAGCCTCTGTCCTTGGACCCCTTCTCTTCTCCATCTACACCGCCTCTTTTGGTCACTTGATAAAACTCCCATGGCTTTAAGTACCATCTCTATGCTGATGACACACAAATCTATCTTTCTACTCCTCAGCTCTTCAGTGTCCTCTCGCATTACTAACATACTAAGTGACATATCAGCATGGATGTCACTCCACTTCGTCAAACTCAATCTTTCCAAATCTGAGCTCTTAGCATTCCCCCCAGCCCGTGCCCCCTCCCCTGACTTCTCCATCAAGATCAATAACACAATCATCATTCCCTTCCCTCATGCCAGGTACCAGGTGTAATCCTAGACTCCCATCTGTCCTTTCAACCCCAAATCCAATCACTGTACAAATCTTGGCGCTATATAGAGTCTGTATAATAACAACCTGTGAAATTTCCATGCTACTAAATATTCCAAAGTCAACTGTTAGTGGTATTATAAAAAAGTGGAAGTAACTGGGAATAACAGCAACTCAGCCATGAAGCCACGTAAAACGAGAGCAGGGTCAGCACAGTGCACAGAAGTCGCACTGCCTGCAGAGTCAATAGCTGAAGACCTACAAAGTTTCGTGTGGCCTTCAGAATAGCACAACAGTGCAAAGAGAGCTTCATGGAATGGGTTTCCATAGCCGAGCAGCTGCGCTACTGGACTCTAGAGCAGTGGAGACGTGTTCTCTGGAGTAAAGAATCATGCTTCTCTGTCTAGCAATCTGATGAACGTGTTTGGGTTTGGCGATTGCCAGGAGAATACTACTTGCCTGACAGCATTGCACCAAGTGTAAAGTTTGGTGGAGGGGGGATTATGGTGTGGGGTTGTCTTTCAGGGGTTGGGTTTGGCCCCTTAGTTCCAGTGAAGGCAACTCTTAAGGTGTCAGCATACCAAGACATTTTGGACTATTTCATGCTCACACCTTTGTGGCAAAAGTTTGGGAATGGCCACTTCCTGTGCAACTTGACTGTGCACCAGTGCACAAAGCCATAAAGACATGAAAGAGCGAGTTTGGGGTGGAGGAATTTGACTGGCCTGTACAGAGTCCTGACCACAACCCGACAGAACACCTTTGGGATGAATTAGAGACTGCAAGCCAGGCCTTCTCGTCTGACATCAGTTCCTGCCCTCACAAATGCACTTCTGGAAGAATGGTCAAACATTCCCATAGACACACTCCTAAACCTTGTGGACAGTCTTCCCAGAAGAGTTGAAGAAGCGGTTATAGCTGCAAAGGGTGGGCCAACTCAATATATATATATATATATATATATATATATATATATATATATATATATATATATATATATATATATATATATATCTATATCTAGATCTAGAGAGAGAGATGATTGTTTCAGTTACAATGGTAAGGGTCCTTTCAAGTTCATGAATACCCACTCCTACCCCTTTTGAGATATCCCATACTTTAAGAGCGGGTTCACAATGGTGCGCTGCAGTTTGGATGCAGCACGATTTATCTACATTTTACACACAGTTTTAGGCGCACTTTTCATTTGACTTCCATTAGAACCTGTGTTTCAACGATGCGTTTTCAGAATATGCACAGTCTAACATAAGTCAATGGGAACAGCATGTAAAACGCAGATACAATTGTTCTGCACTGAAACTGTCCTGCACTGGTTGAACCCAGTCTATGTTTTCACTCCACTTGCCCCAAACTGCAGCTTTGCTTTACACTGTGATGTAGGGTCTGGTGCTCTGTGAGCTGCCCACAAGTTTGAGGATCTGACACTGCTGGAACTATTTTTGATCACCATTGATCAGCATTAATATTTCTGAACAGCAGGTATATTCTTATCTTGGACCAATGTAAGTATGCATATCTCATACCTAACAGAGTACTGTGAAAGCTTGAAATCACTGCATGAGTCACTACAGTGAGTTCTGCAGTCGTAAGGTCCTGTGCTTTTCTGCATACTGACCATAGGGGGGGGTCGCTCACCTGGGACTGCCATCATTCACATAATGCCTTATATTTCTTTCATTAAATGGAAGGTGTTCTCTGATTGGACTACGTAGAGATTGTGGCCTCTCTACCCCATCTATGTTTATTTACCATGTGCCAAAGTTAAAGCCTTCAGCAGGGACTGGCCAAATTTTCATCCATGAATGGATAACCGGGTTGTACAGAAGTCAATTGGTATCTGACTGACTTCTGTACAACCAGAAATGTCGGGGTTTTCCTGATTGATCAGTGCCGCCGGCTATAGCTGGCAGCACTGACCATCGTATTCTGATGGTGGGGGAAGTCTCCTGTCAGAATACAATATCATGGTGGTGCGAGAACCATACCTGCCCTGTCACCATCAGTTGTGCCCCCTGCTTACTCACCTGGCCCCCACAAACTCATCGCAGGGCAGCAATCTCCGCCAGCGGTGGACACTTTCGAAGGGCCCGAAATTCAGGGTGAGATACTCCACACTGTCCGAGCAGCTGTGATCGAAGTCCACACTGGGGGCCACCTTAGACTTGCACGCCATTAGAGCTCAGGCCCTGGACTCCTACAAGAAGAAATTGTCAGTAAGGTGCTGCCTGTCAGCTTTGTCCTCCTATCCACTCCCAGCCATAGGACAGCATGACAGCCTGTGCTGTACAAGACACAGCCGGCCCACTAAGGGCTCCCCGCACACAATACGGGCCCCAGGTACAAGAGAGCCATGTGAGGGGCTCATATCAGGAAGAGACACTGCATACAGAGCTGGGAGCGGCGTCCAGCCGACAGGAAGGAAGAGGAAACGTGACAGGAAATGTCAGAGCCCTATTAGGGAGACTATCCATCCATCCGCTCAGCTCTATGGTTACTGAGCCGTAAGTCAAGCAAACGCTGAGCTAGTATGGTGCAAGAGTGACATCTAGTGGCTGAAAAACAAACTGCGATACGCTTCTGAAAATTCTAAAAGGCCTGTTAGGTTTATTCAGCTTCTCTGCCTGGGGCCATCCTAACAATATATGGAACGTTTAATGACAGAGATTCCAAGTGACAATTCTGAGATTAAAAATATGAATTCTGAAATTAAAACTCAGAATTATGACTTTGAGACCCAGAATTTAGACTTTTAGGCCCTGATCACACAGGTGTACTTAAAGCTGAGTTCTACTCACCGGTCAAAAAATAATACTCAGTAGCTACAAAAACTGTAGCTGCTGACTTTTAAAAAGCAGCCAGTTAGCTGTCCCTCGGTCCCACGGTGTGTTCCCCGCAGCCCGTTTCACCGGCCGTCCTGGATTCCAGGAGGCCGGCATCTTCCGTGTGGGCACCCGGCTGTGACAGCTTGCGGCTTCATGAATGGTCCTGTAGTCTTCTGGGACCTGTCACATGTCCCAAAAGACTACAGGGATGGAGGGAGGGAGGGAGGACACCTTCCGCTTCTGATCGCCTAAGCGATCGGACCGGAAGTGGGAGCGGGTACCTGTCAAATTCGGGTACCCGCCCCCCCCCCCCCGCTCCCCAAACGTGCCAGTCTTTAATGGGGAGCGGGGGAGCAGTTCTTAAAGCGGAACTTCCCCTTTTGGGTGGAGCTCCGCTTTAAAGCAGAGGCCTAGTTGGAATTAAAAAAAATGTAAGTCAGCAGCTACAAAAACTGTTGCTGCTGACTTTTAAAAAAACAGACACTCACCTGTCTCTCAATTCCACGGTGTCCTCACTCCGGCCAGGTTGGCCAACCATGCCAGTATTTTCAGTGTGTCACAGCTTGTGGCCAGGGGGGGACTAACAACTCATGGGGCCCCCGGGCAAAAGGGGATCATGGGGCCCCTGTGTCCTTGCCCAAACTCAAAAAAGCCTATGAAAAAGGTATCATGGGGCCCCTACTGACCTGGGGCCCTTGGGCAGTGCCTGAGTTTCCAAATGGTCAGCCCGCCCCTGCTTGTGGGTTTACAGCCGGGTGCCCACTGTGCATGTGTGAGTAGCACTGTGTATTGTGAATGGCCCTGTGATCTTCTGGGACCTGTCACATGTCCTAGAAGATTACGGGGGGGGGGGGGGGGACAACTTCCGCTTCTGATCGCCTAGCCGATTACAGTGGAAATGGGAGCAGCATAGGGCTTAAAAATAGTCAATGTTGATTGGGAGAGTAAAGTTCCACTTTAAGTGTTCAGTCATGAGGGGGCCACCTTTGCTTGCACAGGATGCACTGTGTTTCAGGTAGTCCCATTCATGTAAATTGGGACACAGCCAGGGCCAGTGCTAGACCATTTTGCACCCTAGGCAAGACAAGCTACTTGCGCCTCCCCCCCCAAAAAAACTCACCCTACACATTGCACATGTGATGGATGTCCTGTCAGACACAGACACGAGACATCAGAGTCAGACATTACCTTCCTTCACAGGCACAGCTCCACCTCCGCTGATGAATGGGAAGAGAAGGTCTGGAACGCCACAGTGACTAGCAGCCACCAGCCGGCTTGCAGTAAGGGACAGAGTATGAGAGGATCACTGGAAGGAGTGGCAGCTCAGCTGCTACATTGGCCCCAGACACCCGACATCTTCCTCTGTCCTTTCTTCCTCCCCTCTGCCGCCCCTTCCTCAGCTGGAGTTTCATTCATGACATGGCAGCCTCCCACACAGAGTGACAGCCTGTACTGCACCCAGGTGCCCCTAGGTGGCTGTGCACCCTAGGCGGCTGCCTAGTTTGCCTAGTGGAAGCACTGGCCCTGGACACAGTCACAGCTCGCAATTTGACATCCTTGTAGGTGTAGATTCATGTCCCCAAAAACAGACAGTCTGAGTTTGGGGACATGAACCTGCACCCACACACATGTGAAATGAAGAGTAGCGGCTGTGTCCCTATTGACATGAATGGGACTACCTACATGCAGATGGACAAAACACCTGAACACCTGTGCATTCCATTTGGGCAAAGATGGCCCTATCACAGATGTAAGCTTAGGTACTCCCATGTGAACAAGGCCTAAATCTCAGAATTTTAACTTTGAAATCCAGAATGACTTTAAAAGTCAACATTTTGTTTAATATATTTCTTTTAGAATGACGCCAGTACCCTTAAATTGAAAATTCTTCTAAATTTAGATAAAGTTTGGAATGATTAGAACATCTGTCAGTGTTTTGGATGGATGGAGGTTCATACTCTCTTTGGGCTCATTGTCACCTGGAATGACAGGGATTTCCTTTTTTTTAAGAAATATCCTTTTACCTCTTGTTGTGCCTCTGGAGCAGGAAGTGAAGGTAATTCTCCCCAAGGAGACACAGAAGGCAAAAAGAGAAAACATACTCAAAAGTAAAAAAAAAAAGGTTTTGGATTTAGATATACTTTATGTAACACCCTCCTAGTCTGCTAGGGGGAGCTCTAGCTTTAATTGATAGATACAGGCTGAGTAGCAGCCTGGGTGTAATAGCCATGTGGGTCAAATTTAGGCCAGAGCTGAGAGGCTCTGCAGACCAGCTCTCTGGGATTTCACCCTGGTCTAGAACTTTGGAGAAAAATCTAGAAGCAGTGGGTGGAGGTGAGGAGTGGCTGATCTGTACTTTTAGAGGATCCTGGCCAATCCCCAACAGAGGGCTTGGCAAGGGGCTAGGACAGCCTTTAACAGTAACTGAGCCTGCTTAGCAGCATGAGAGTTGGAGGAGAATTTGGGTGGAAGATGAAGAAGTGAGGCTGGAAAGCAGCAGCATGGGAAGTGGCCCAGATAAGAGGGGGGCTCACCTCCAGGCAGGAATGCTGGAAGGAGGAAAGCTTGGGACTTCACCGGCCCCCAGAGAGAGGACCACCTGTGTGGCAGGGGAGGAGCGGCCCAGCTAGAAGGCTTAGTAGCAGCCACCAACCCACCAGCAACACAGGAGAAGTGAGTAAACCTGTATCCCCCCAGGCCATATAGGGGAAGGAGCGCTCTGGTGGGAAATCAGATTAGCGACTATCCAGGACTGTCTTACTTTACAGTGACCGGCACTGGATTCCCTGCTCAGGGATTCACCCAAATCGGCTGGATTAGGAGAATCTAGGGTCTAGGGTGGTACAACCAGAGATGCTGGCTAGCTCTCCAAAAAGAGGACTTTGCTGTAAATAACTTGTATATAGTGCCAGGAAGTTGTCTTCGGTTTCACAGTTTCATTGGGCATCCCGTACACCCCTAGCCCTATCCCAGTTCAAATTCCCTAATAAAACTTCAAAACAAAGCTCAAGGACTGTTACTGTCTCCTGGATGCAAGTCATTGTGGAAATGCGTGTTGCCGCGCTGTGCAAGACTACTGAGGGACCCAAAACCTCTGCAATTCCTAAGGGGGTAGTGCTACATTTACTTTCAGAGTCACTGACCAGGTCCAAAGACTTTATTGGCAGCATGGGATGCTACCAGTCCACCTTTCCAGCTTGATGAATCAGAGAACACTTTACATTCGTTGAAAAAATTCATGAGCATTCTCTGAATGGAGCCTGTGCTGAGCTGCCGATCTCCTGAGTTCACAATGCATGTTGGCAGCCGGTTGGCACAAGAGCCGGAAGCAAGTGCAGATCACTGGAGTAGGGGTGGTTACTTCGGTGAATTCAAGCTTCCAGGAGGATCCCACAGGTATGGTATATACATAGATACATTGGTCAAAGCTGGACCTATGTGTCTATGTGTAAAATGCCATATCTGGAATTCATCTTTAAGTAGTCTGATAGTTGGGGTTTAAAACAAATAAATCAGTGATGGCTGCAATACTCACCTTCTCTCGTTCAGTGTCCTTGCAGCAGTACATGCTGTCATCTTAGCAGTTTTACAGAAAGCTTTGGAACTCAATAATATCACAATCACCCATCCCATCCCTGCATGCAAGGCTTTCTTAAAGTACAACTTAGGAGACACAGGAGTAGAGTGCTAGTGGGTGCCAGGCAAAGGAGCGCAAAACATTTTAGTACCCAGCAATCTATTACAGGTTTTATAGGGCAGGACGACCTACTGCTCAATGGTGCTTTTATTGCTCCAGCCAAGATATCACAATCAGGAGTGGTGCAGAATATAAAGCCTCTAAGGAGATACAGTATGTTACTACTGAACACCAATGGCAGGGGGATCATTTTATTATCCCACTGACACCAATGCTGGGAGGGGGAGGTCAGCTTTTATTATTTACATATACACAAATGCTCAAGGGGGAAGTGATTTAAAATTCTCACTGACACCTATGCCCAAGGGTGGGGGTCTTTAATTATTCTGAGTGACAATATTGCCCAAGGTGTGAGTACAGTGAAGAGAGTGTGGGAGCAGAATAATCCTCCCCATTGCTGGTGTCAGTGGAAGTAATAGTAACCCATACCACCCCACCCGCCCCTTCATTAGTTGTTAGTGGCAGTGACAATTACCTTGCTTTCATTGGTGGTCAATGGTAGTGATAATTAATCTCCCCACCCCTTTCATTGGTGGTCAGTGGTGGTGATAATTAATGCCCCCCCCCACCCCATACAATGGTGGTCATAGGAGTGGTAGTTAAACCCCCACACCCTTTCATTGTTGGTTGGTGGTAGTGAAAATGAATGCCCCC